AATAATAATAATAATAATAATAGTAATAATAATTATAGAAGTAACAATAATAATAGTAATAATAATAATAATAATAATAATAATGATAGTAATAATAATAATAGAATAATAATAATAGTAATAATAATAATAATAGAAGTAATAATAATAATAATAATAATAATAATAGTAATAATAGAATAATAATAATAGTAATAATAATAATAGAAGTAATAATAATAATAATAGTAATAATAATAGAAGTAACAATAATAATAGTAATAATAATAATAATAGAATAATAATAGTAATAATAATAATAATAGAAGTAATAATAATAAGAATAATAATAGTAATAATAATAATAGTAATAATAATAGTAATGATAGAAGTAATAATAATAATAATAATAATAATAATAATAAATGACAAAGGAAAGCGTTGCAGGTTTGTTTGTTTCTTTTCTTTAACTGGTGCTGGGATGGCACTATTGTTTTGAGGTCACTTGTTCCCTTATGTGCGCAGGTGGTAGGGCATTACAGGTGTGCTGCGTTGCCGGTGATGAGCGCATGATAAAAGGATTCCTCATTTGCTCCATCGGGAGAAGCTTGAGTTGTTAGCTTGACTCGGGCTGGCAGATCGGTCTCCTCCAGCACCAGATTTCTTTGTTTGTTTACACTTTATTTTGCATTTGATGCTTGTTTAAATTAATAAATATATCCCTTTTTTATTATATTTCTATATTTAAAATACTGACTCTTGATTATGTTGCAGACTTTCTAGTGCTGGACAGTTTGTAACAAAAGTCATTTGATAATAATAGCTGCATCATTTGTTCTGTTCACTGTTTAGTGTTTATTTAAGTGTTGATCTGACCTGAAATGTTGGTTCTGTGGGCAGAAGAGCAGGTCCTGCTTCTGTCTCCGCCGTCGCCTTTATTTCAGTCTGTTTTACTGCTGCTGGTGGAGCTGTGCATTAGTAAGAAAAACAGGTATTTTTAGTATTAGTTTTTCCTGCTTTCACTTTTTTTAAATATGAATCTGAAAATACAAAAATGCACTGTGATGTATGGTAAAGGACACTTGTCTTAACAAGATGTAGACTAGGTTTCTAATAATGAGTCTGTAGTGAAATGTGAGCAGAGAATAGCACACAGATAATGTTCTCCAGCTCTCTGAAACTCCCCCTATTCAGGCTTTGATCTAAGTTGTGGCGTTCTGGTGACTGTCGCTTTAAATTCAAATGAGACTGTGCTCTTTTCAGAAAAGGGCGGAGCTACAAATGGCTGTGCATCACCATGGTCACAGATTCAAAACAGCACTAACATTATCATTGTGTAAAAGTGAGCAGAAGTGGCTCTGATGAAGGCATCTAGTGTCTAAATAATGAGCAGGTTAGTGTATACTCCATCAGCTTTGTGTTTAATTAAAGGTTTTTAATTGTTTTAACCCCATTTTAAGGTCAATATTATTGGCCCCTTCAGCAATATTAGTGTTGGATAGTCTCCAGAACAAACCACTGTTATACAATGACTTGCCTAATTACCCTAACTTTACCCTAATTACCCTAGTGAAGCCTTTAAGGGCGTACTCACACTATGCCATCCATACCGTGCCCAGGCCCGTTTCCTGGATCGTTTGAGAAGTGTGAGCGCTGAATCGGGCTCAAGCACAGTTCACTTGGCCGGCCCTGGCCCGGTTGGAAGAGGTGTGCCTGAGCGCAGTTCACTTGGGCTTTGGCGCGGTACGCTTGTGTGTAAAAACACACCAAAGCCCGAAACTGAAAGCGAGACGTGACTTTAAGGGACTGTTTCATATGGGTTTATTAATCATTCTTACTGTTCAGTGAACACAGACCCCTCACTGCACCACAGCTGCAGCTTCAGCAGACCTCCTCATTCCTGCAGCACGAGAGCTTTATGATTGTTTATGAGCGCTAAAAGTGGCGGATCTGTTCGGTGAAATATCTGACTGCATGTCACTGCATCCCTAAGGACTGTGTGGTGAAATATCTGACTGCATATCACTGCATATCAAACTACTGAAGCGATATAACTAGAGAAATCTCCACTGTGCTGAGCGAGAGCGCTCACTGAACAGCGCAGCAGCGATGACATAAGCGTGCCCAGGCCCGATTGTTGTGTGAGCGCGGGCCGTCGGGGGAAACGGGAGGGGGGACAAGCGTGCTTTGGCCTGGTTCGAGGCAACTGTACCTAGTGTGAGTACGGCCTAAATGTCACTTCAAGCTGAATACTAGTGTCTTGAAGAATATCTAGTCTAATATTATTTACTGTCATCATGACAAAGAGAAAAGAAGTCAATGATGAGATATGAGTAATTGAAGCTATACTGAATTATTGGATATCAGAGAGTGTGTGTGTGTGTGTGTGTGTGTTCACCGTGTCTGCGTCTCCTCCTGAGTGAATATGCTGCTCTCTGGACACTCATTCTGGCCGTCCGCCTCTTTAAACTCAGTTTACTCGTCCTGCTTTTCTTCATCCTGCCCTCCGTCCTCTTCCTCCTCCTCTTCTTCTTCTTCAGTGTGCTTTCTGTGGACTCGTGCTCTTGCACACACGTGTTTTCAGGCTGAAAGGGATGCGGAAACTCCTGTAATGCTCCAGAACAACCCCAATCCTTATTAGGAGTCCTGTGAATCAAACATTCACTGATGTTTAATAAAGAGTCTTGAGTCTGTTGGTATTTCAGCTTCTCTGGCTTTTTTGATGGTCATAAAAAGGGGATAAAATTCACCATTCAGCAATATTTTATTAAGAAAAAAACTTCTTTCTATAATAAAAGAAACTAGACATTAACAACAATAATTAATACATAAAATAAGATTAAAAAGACATCCCATATTTAGTCCTTCAATGTATTGTGATTATAAAAATCCCCAAAATTGATATTGTGCACACTTCAAAATACTGTGAATATTTATTTATTATTTGTTTGTTCGTTACTGTACTACATTTTTAAGCTATTCATTTTTACACAGACATTTTCACATTAATCTGGCCTTTGACATCAGTTAATTTAACCAAAGTCAATGTAGTTAAAATAAAAAGACAATAATTAATCTTAACTGATGTTAATTTCCTCCGGGTGCTCCGGTTTCCCCCACAAGCCCAAAGACATGTGTCAGCTGAATTGGGTATGCGAAATTGTCTGTAGTGTATGTGTGTGTGAATGAGTGTGTATGGATGTTTCCCAGTGATGGGTTGCGGCTTCACTTTGCTTTGGTGACCCCAGATTAATAAAGGGACTAAAAGCCCGGTTTAGCCGGCAGCTAGCTCTCTGCAACCCTCACATGGTCGCCCACTGAAGCTAAGCAGGGCTGAGCCTGGTCAGTGCCTGGATGGGAGACCACATGGGAACACTAGGTTGCTGTCGGAAGTGGTGTTAGTGAGGCCAGCAGAGGGCGCCCAACCTGCGGTCTGTGTGGGTCCTAATGCCCCAGTATAGTGACGGGGACGCTATACTGCTCAGTGAGCGCCGTCTTCCAGATGAGATGTTAAACCGAGGTCGTTAAAAACCCAAATCTGCCCACTGGCCTCTGTCCATCATGGCCTCCTAATAGATATCTGCGCGGGACTAAATCTTGAATCCCGCCAGGTTTTAGCCCAAACCTGACCGCTCCCGCTTATATTCATACATCTACATTTATATGGGGACTGTTTGTACATGATAATCGCAGTTTTGCTCAACAACGTTTGTGATTGCAACTCATTTACGATCCTTATAATATCATAGTAAAATCTTCAGCAAATGTTGACACCAGCAGAAGCCTACCTGTGGCAGTTCAGAGCCGGAGAGACGCCTTTATAGCAGTTTTCCCCCACTCTGAAACACGGCTCGCACTCGTCTTCATCCTCCTCTTTTTCCTCCTTAAATCTCTCTCTGGATCGCTGGGAATCTTCTGGGCACCACGAGACCAAGATGGAGGAGCTTCTCTGATTTGGATCTTCTCCATCGCTGAGAGAATCTTCTTTAATGTCCCATGAGCTTTCATTCTCCACCTTTAATCCATCTGTACACACAAACACAAAATAAATGGTCCTGCACATGCGCAAATAACAACAGAATTCTCATTTGTGTTAGTAACACTCCAGTGACTGACCGCTGGGTTCCTGCGCTGTCCTCCTGACGCTGATATCCGGTAGTGGCAGCTCCACAGCTCCGCAGGGACTCTGGCGGTAGATCCTTAGGTCGGCTCCGCAGAAGTGTGGGAAGTGGATGTAAGCGTTCTCCTGCTCGTCATAGCCCAGGATGGACTCTCTGCACTCGTGTATGGGCTGGCCGAGTACGGCGTCCTGAACATCCTTCTGCGTCTCATAAACGTGATCACACAAACCCTTGAGGAGCCAGACGCGCTTCTTGAAGGATAACAGGTGGAACGGCGTCTCCTCAAGCGGATTCACATACCCCAGGGTCCAGAAGAACTGGCGGCACAGCAGGGGCATTTTAGCGAAACAGAACTTAAACTGAGACCATTGGTCAAAACATTTCTTGTCAATATAGACCTTTAAAAATGTCATGATCTTCCAGAAATGCCATGGTATTGTTGAAATGTAATGGTATTCCAGAAATGTCATGGTATTCCTTAAATGCTATGCTATTCCAGAAATGCCACAATATTTAGGAGACTCCATGACATTCCAGAAATTAATAAAATGTCATATTCCAGAAAATCCCTAAATTTTTAGAAATGTCATGATATTTCCAAACATTCTAGAATATTCCAGACATATACTACTCAAGAAATGTCATGATATTCTAGAAATTGGTGATATGTTATGATATTCCATGATATCCCAGAAATGTCATTATCTTCCCGAAATTCTAGAATATTCCAGAAATTTGTGAAATGCAATATTTCCAAAAATTCTATGCTATTCCAGAAATTCCAGAAAAATGTATATTCTAGAAAGACCATGATATTGCAGAAATGTCATAACAGAAATTTGTGAATTTTCATGCTATTCTAGAAATGTCATGATAATCCAGATCTTTGTGAAATGTTATGATATTCCAGAAATGCCATGGTATTGCCGAAATGTAATAATATTCAAGAAATGTCACAATATTTAAGAGACTATAACATTACAGAAATTACAGAAACTCTATGATATTCCAGAAATCTCATGATAATCCAGAAATTTGTGAAATGTTAAGATATTCCATGATATCCCAGAAATGTCATTATCCTCCAGAAATTCCAGAAATGTCATGACATTCCAGAAACATTATGATAATCAAGAAACTTCAAAAATGTCATGCTATTTTTGAAATGTTACAATATTCTATCAATTCCAGAAATGCCATGGTATCGAAGAGATGTCATGGTATTCCAGAAATTCTAGAAATGTCATGATATTCCGGAAATGTCATGCTATTCAAGAAACTCCATGACATTACAGAAACTCAATGACATTCCAGAAATGCTATATTTCAGAAATTCCTGAAATGTCATATTCCTGAAATTACATAAATTTCCAGAAATGTCATGACATTCGAGATACGTCATATTTTAGAAATGTCATGGTATTCTATAAACTCCCGAAACTTCATGATATTCCAGAAATTCGTCAAATTTCATGTTTCCAAAAGTTTTATGATATTCCAGAAATGGCATGCTGTTCTAAAGATGTCATGATATTAAAGAAATTCTAGAAATGTCATGATATTCCAGAAATAGCATGATTTTCCAGAAATGTAATTCTATTCCAGAAATGTCAAATCTAAGAGACTCTATGATATTCCAGCAATTCCATGACATTCCAAAAATGGCATACTATTCTAAAAATGTCATGCTAATCCAGAAATTTGTGAAATGTTATATTCAATGATATCCCAGAAATGTCTTTATCTACCAGAAATTCCAGAATAATCTAGAAATGTCATGATATTCCAGAAATGCCATGGTATGGAAAAATATCATGATATTCCAGAAATGCCATATAAATTCAGAATTGTCACGATATTCCAGAAATTCCATAACATTACAGAAATTCCATATTCTAGAAATGCCACGATATTCCGAAAATTTATAAAATGTCATTATATTCCAGAAATGCCATGGTACTGCAGAAATTTAATTATATTCCAAAAAATATCACGATATTTAGGAGACTCCATGAGATTAGAGAAATTCCAGAAATTCTATGACATTCTAGAAATGTCATGATATTTCAGAAATTTGTGAAATGTTATGATATTGCTTGATATCCCAGAAATGTCATTATGCTCCAGAAATTCTAGAAATGTCATGACATTTTAGAAATTTAGATAATATTCTATAAATTCCAGAAATTTAATGATATTCCAGAAATTCCAGAAATGTCATGATATTCCAGAAATTTTAGAAATGTCATGATATTTTAGAAATATAGATATTCAATAAATTCCAGAAATGTCATTATATTCCAGAAATTCTAGGAATGTCATGATATTGCAGAAATATGCAAAATATTCTATAAATTCCAGAAACTTAATGATATTGCAGAAATTTGTATAATGTCATTATATTCTAGAAATGTCATGCTATTCCACAAATTCCAGAAATGTCATGCTATTCAAGAAACTCAATGACATTCCATATTATTTCAGAAATGTGATGATATTAAAGAAACTCCATGACATTACAGAACTCCCATATTTTAGAGAATCCAGAAATGTAATATTTCCAAAAATTATACAATAATCCAAAAATACCATGATATTCCAGAAATTCCTGTATTGCATGATATTCCAGAAATGTCATTGCAGAAATTCATGAAATGTTTTAACAGTCTAAAATTTTGTGAACTGTCAAGATATTAAAAAAATTTTATGATATTCCAGAATTTTCTGAAATGTTACTGCATTCCATAAATGTCATGATATTGCAGAAACTCCATGTTTCCTGTCTGAACCTCTTTAAAAAAAAGCACAGAACTCCACTAACCGTGCGGCAGAGCCCCAGTTGTTCAGCGGCACGCTCATCATCTCGGCCCACAGAGGAGTACCAGGCCTGTACACGGCGGCGCAGCTCGCTCTCCCAGCGGCGATAAGGCATTGGCGGGCGGCGGTGGACACTGGACCTCCTCTGCGGCGGGCACAGCAGAGACGTCATCAGTCTGGCCAGGAACACACTGCAGCGCGGCATCAGCAGACAGCGCTCCAGCTCGTAAAACACAATCTCCGGCAGGTTCAGCGCTCTCTGGGCCAGGCACAGGAAGTGGCCGATGGCAGGAAGTTCCCACATGCTGGAGACGGGATGCGGTTCTGCAAGAGAAAGTAAAGACGTCTCCCAGTCTTCAAGATCCTTCAGCGATGCCTCCTCTGCCTCCTTGCGCTCCTGATCACGCTGCCTGGAGGACATAGACATGGCACACAAACATTTCACTTATTCATTTTCAGCTCAGTCCCTTACTCATCTGGGGTCACCACAGCGGAATGAACCGCCAACTTATCCAGCATATGTTTTACACAGCGGATACCCTTCCAGCTGCAACCCATCACTGGGAAACATCCATACACACTCATACACTATGCTACAGCTGGGCGATATTGCAAAAAAAATGATCACGATAATTTTTTCATATCAGTCGATATCGATATTTATCACGATAAATGTAAAATCTTTATATCGATCAATTATTTAAGGTTTTCAGCATGCCAATGGCTTTGTGCAGATGATTTAACACATTTAGGGAAATGTTTTAGCTGTCTGACAATATAAATAATGAAATAATAAACAAAAGAACAATCTTAATTCAGAATTTTCTTGCTCAAGTTTTCAACAACCAAAGACATTACCTACAAATCATTGGATATTATTGTTCAACATCAGAAAAAAAAAATAAACCCGATTTGGAACAACGTGAGTTTTTATTATTATTATTATATTATTATTAAACTCTCCTTTCAGTGGTGAGTATGGTGAATTTAGGGTGAAATATACTTTAATGTATTTTATTTAGGGATGTTAATGATTACTTAAACTATTGATTGTCGATAACGCTTTAATTGATAGACCTTATCGATAAATAATTAAGCATGGACATGTAAAGGTTAGTTCTGCTTTGCGCTGTGAGACGCATCCATGCGCTACATCATCAAGTGTGTGCAGTTTACCTTACTTATGCTGTCACTTTCTTGAAATCCCATATTGCGGGATGCACAAACCCTTGTTATGCGCATATCTCCGATATATCCGCGCGTGTTTAACCAAATTTGTCTGACAGACTAGCACGTAGGGTTGTAACGGTATGAATTTTTCACGGTATGATAATCGTCTAAAACAATACCACGGTTTGACGGTTTTGCGGTATACGGTATGTTACAAATGTTACAAAATAATAGAACAGTGAAGCAAATTTGACTTTTTCCAAATAATATATTTTTAGTTACTATAAACAACACCACTTACAATGAACAAATAAAAAATAAGAAAATAATAAATAATGTGTCAAAGTCCAAATAAAGTCCAAATAAACATGGTGCAAATCCTCAGTAAAAAATAGATATAAATATTTACTATACTATAAATAGTTACATAACGAAACTAGATTCAATATGGAACATCCTTAGGTTTTATGTGCCAGCATGGATATGGTTGTCTGTGGATATGGATTTGGATATGGTTGTCTGCAATGCAGACAAACAGCTGCATCTTCATTTGCGTCTTTTGAAAACAGCAAGAGCAGCAGTTCGTCTTTGCTGTGTCACTGTTTTGTCATGTTTCTGTGCTGCTGTGCATGCAAAAGTACTTAGTATGAGAATTATTTCATGCAAAACTTTTTTTTTTTTTGCGTTTTATTTAGCCGCGCATAAATGTATGCCTATCTCTCATTCCGTGTTGTTCAAAAAGCTCATTGTTGGTCCACAAACAAAAGCGAAACCTATGCTTATTGGTTGTGATATAGCGAGTTTGAACCAATCTGGGCATGGAGGAGGGACAATGCATCAATGTATCATGTCTGATTTGTCCGGAGACACAGTGACGAGCGTTTCTTTGTCAAATCAGCGTTGTCAAATGTTGATGACGTAACCGCACTGATTCCGGAGCCTCTGAAAGTCCGCGAATGTTATGTGATACAACACTGGAAAGCTGAGATTCTCTTCTTTATGCCAATCTTTGAATTGTATGAATCGGATCAGCGGATCAAAAGTTATTAAACATTTAAGAGCAATACTTATTTTTAGCCGCGGGCGGCTGTCTCGGTCTTTAAGGGTTAAAACCGTTGATATGCAATTGTTCATGGTATGATAATCGTGCACGTTCAAATCGTGGTAAACCGCCATACCGGTATATTGTTACAACCCTACTAGCACGAATAGGTCTATGCAGACTCTCAATTTACAAATCACGCATCACAACGAAAACATGCGGGGAGCCAGCCGGGGAGCCTCTCCATTTACACAGCCAGCTTCTGAGCTATATCCGAGTTTATTCTTCCGAGGTAACCCAAGAAATCTATCAGTGCTGCGAAAAGACTGTCCAGTTCATGCTGCTCACACCGCGCTTAGTTAATGAATTAAAATGAAACCGTGAAAATAGTTTGATGGACTGTTTTGGCGCTAAAGCATATCGCGGGCTTGTGTTAAAGCGCTTCACCTCAGATGTTATTCGTTCCTCTTGTTTATGCTGTAGATATCTGACCAACAAAATATACATCAAAATTAAGCTACACATTATACAAAACAAAATTCGTTACAACAAGATACATTTTCAAGGAAATACGTTTATATTTATTTAGTTTGTGTCCGCCTTAAACAACTGCGGGTGGATGATGCTTCGCTCCGTGGGAAAGAAAAGCTGTTGCTGTTGTAAATGTCTGTCATATATTTGCTGCATTTTTAATATGTCATTATTTTAAAGATTATGTCTTGAGCATCTGATTTCGCCTCAGTGATTATGTCCTTTAAATATATGAAGGCTGGTTCTCGATGAGAGACAATAGTGGTATTACAGATTTCAAAACAAATATTTTAATATTAAATAGGAAGCATAAGCTTGACAACAAAAGATCTTATTATTGTCTTAACAAATGCCCTTAAATGATGCAGCCTGTAGTTTACAGCAACATCAAGTGTTCATTGAGATGTGTTTGGGATTGTGTCCTCTGTCATGTCTTTTGTCGGTCTTTTCGGGGGGTTTTTCTCGTATGGCACGGCTTTCGAAAATGATGACATGAGGCTCTGCTGGGTAGCTGCGCTGGTTTACTAACACTTGTTTATGTCTGTACTTTCTTAGCCTCTTCATAAGGGGGGTCTTGTTTTACATGGTGAAACAGGTCGTGGTGTTGCCTGCTGTTGCTGACACGAGTCGTCAAAGCAGTTTGCGGTGCACGTTGCTCTGTTTTGTGTCCGATAGCGAAAAACTAAGTAGCTCATGAAGTCTAGTGACGTTTCTTGTCTACAGTGTCTGTGACTCTGACCTTTTTTACCTTATTTCTTTCTTACTCCTTTCAGTGCAACGAACACTGTATGGCTGTAAACTTGTACAGCGTGCGGCATCCGGAAGGGCAGGCTGCAAAATGCTTGCGCAACGTTACGCATAGTGCGTAAATATTATCGAGCAATTATCGAACTGTCATTATCGATTTATCGAAAAATTTAATATCGTGATAATTATCGATATCGAATTATCGCCCAGCCCTACACTACGCACAACACTTATAGACCGAACGCTATTGTCAATATCAATAATACTCCTCCCTGACATGAGTTTGAACATGTGCAATCGTTGCTAAGTAATGCATAGTGAACCGTCTGTGTCTCTTGTTTTCAAAATAAGAGTCCCACTTACATAGCCAAGTTAAATAAGCTTAAAAATAACTAACAGAAGAAGATGATCATTGTTGTCTCACTAGGAAACATTGTGGCTTAGCAAACACAGTCTGAGGCTTGAATATTAATGATCCCAAAAACATATAAGACTGTGTGTGTGTGTGTGTGTGTGTGTGTGTGTGTGTGTTTGTGTGTGTGTGTGTGTGTTTTAACATATCAGTCTGTGTTTTGGCTAGTGATCTGATAATGTGGCTGCTTGTCAGGTCCAGGAGAACAACCTAAAGTACATGCAAATGATGTGAGTGTAACCTGTGAGTCACGCAACAGTCTGCTTTGTGTTCTGATTGGCCTTTTGTCTACCGGGGTTTTACACTCATGGAATTTAAATATGTACAAGTGTGTGTAGGTGTGTGTCTGTGTGTGTGTGTGTACCTCCTGTGTTCTCGTGCTTTCTGCAGCTCCTCCATTCTGAGCGCCTGCACCATGATGGACTCGCTGCTGCACACACTGACTCTGCAGCGCCGCCGTCTGGAGCTCGAACACACTGCCGTTTTCTGCTGCTCGGAGCCGAAGCGGCCCCTGGAGGTCACCCACAGAGCGGTTCTCTCCCGCAGCGGCCTGAAAACAGACAATCAGAGGGACTCGTCAGATAAAACTGAGCTTTCTGGAGATCGTTATTGCCTTTATTTTTATTTTTTCACCGTATTTTCTCTAATATTTATTCTTCTGGAGAAAGTCTTAAGCAGTTTTTATTTGATTTAACCTCATTTTAAGCTCAATATTATTCACGCCTTCAGCAATATTAGTGTTGGATTGTCTCCAGAACAAACCACTGTTATACAATGACTTGCCTAATTACCCTAACTTTACCCTAATTACCCTAGTGAAGCCTTTAAATGTCACTTTAAGCTGTATAGAAGTGTCTTGAAGAATATCTAGTCTAATATTATTTACTGTCATCATGATGAAGAGGAAATAAATCAGTTATTAGAGATGAGTTATTAACACTGTTATGATTAGAAATGTGCTGGAGAAACCTGCACATTGGGGAAATTGGGGAAATATTATAACGGAGGGCTAATAATTCAGAGTTCAACTGCACAATTTAGATTTAAGCAAGAGTTAAATCTCCTCACCTGGGCAGCAGCGTCAGCTTTTGCTCCAGAATAGTCTCCAGCTTCTGAGCCTGTTTGGAGATCCAGTGGTTGACCCCGTGAAAGCGGTAGCAGTTCTCCAGCATCAGTCTGAAATCAGCCACGAACGCGGTGATGGACTCATACTCGCGCTTCACGAATTTATCATCCATCGTTCTGAAGCTCATGTGTGCGCCGGGGCCGATGGGGCGCCAGAACGGGGCCGTGGTGGACTTATGCTTCTCAGAAAGAAAGCTCTGGAATATTCTGTGTGCCTGCTGGACCTCAGGTTTCAGATCCTCCTCTGCTTCGCTTTCATCACAGTGTGATTCCGAGTTCTCGCGCTCTGATTGGTCGGATAAACCATTACACAGTGGCTCTGTGGCCTCCAGACACCCAGAATTCAGTGTGCAGGAGGTCAAGGTCAAGCGGTGGTTCAGGTTCATGTCCTGAACAGCATGCGGCCTGGATTGACATGCGTGTCCGCTGTCGCTGGGGTCCGAATGGAGCTTCATTCTCCTGCCGTGATGCTGAGAGCCTCGCTCACCTGCGCAGGTAACTCCAGCATCATCTGTCAATCACTGTCAGCCTGTCGTCACTCATCGCTTGTCCAAATGGAGACTAAAATCAGAACAAAATTTATTTCATTTTTAATGCAAGCGAGCATCTGATGTATGTAAACACACTTATTATAATCACAATAAATTAATAATCAAACTAAATAAATGTCTACAAATTTAAAAGAAATACAGTGGAACTCATCTTAACTACATTAATATGTCATTAACATACTGTTTTATGGGTTTGTGCAACATTACCAGAGAGCTGTGCTGTGTTTTCTTGAACATGAAATCGTCCGCTGTAGGCCGCAGAGCAGCGGCCTGGAGTTCAGTCTCACACCCGGGAAGGCTCACTTGAGCCGCGCTGCTGCCGCTCTCTGTCCCGCGGGCCGCTGAAGCTCATAGTTCCAGAGTGTCGCGATCGGTCAATGAATCCAAATGAACACCGCAGAGCAGCTGTTTTCGGTAGTTTTCCACCGTTACGAAAGTAAAAGTGTGCGTGTTTGAAAGAAATGAGCTACGGTGAAAAGCGCGTTATAGAGGATGACATGAACGAGTCGCGCGACATTCACTCAATCAGCGGGAGCGCGCTCTCTGTGCGCGCGTGCCCGCGTGGGCTGAAAAAACAAAACAAAACTTTCTGTTTGTTTACAGGTCCCCTACAAAGGCAGCATTACATCACATATATATTCATTATATCTCGCTTGTGCTCCCGGACAAAAGCAAGATGTTGTGAATCTTCCAGATTCCTTTAAGATGTACTTCCTTCAGAGAAACACTCTTAAAGAATTTACTTCCTCCAGAGTAAAACAAGTCCCACAGTTCTGAGATTATTTCAGCTTTCTCCTGTTATTAATGACCAAATTAAACCACAAACAGAAAATAAACTGTCTGTTGTTGTTGTAGTGATGTTTTAAATTAACTGCTTGTCATATTTTGTTTTGTTAAACATTTCAATTAAAACTTTTTACACATTTAAATGGTTTATTTATATTTAATTTTGTGCATTGTAATATTATTTCTATTAGTTTGGTATTCTGGAATGTCGTGATATTTTCAGGACACATTTAAGATCCAATATAATCATAAAAATACCCTAAAAAGAAAATAAAGTGTGTTTTCCTCACACACTCTACAGTAATAATATTCATCATTCATTCATTTTCTTTTCAGATTAGTCCCTTTATTAATCTGGGGTCACCACAGCGGAATGAACCGCCAACTTATCCAGCGTTTTACGCAGCCCATCTCTGGGAAACATCCATACACACTCATACACCGGACAATTTAGCGTACCCAATTCACCAGCACCGCATGTGTTTGGACTGTGGGGGAAACCGGAGCACCCAAAGGAAACCCACACCAACACGGGGAGAACATGCAAACTCCACACTGAAACACCAACTGACCCAGCCGAGGCTCGAACCAGAGACCTTCTTGCTGTGAGGCGACAGCACTACCTACTGTGCGACTGCGTTACACTACAGCAGCAATATAATCCAGCATACTTTTCATTTTAATGATGATGGTATGTATAAATAGAGAGAGAGAGACATTTTAAGTCCAAAGCAGAGATGCCCCAAGTTGGCCCAGTGTAACCTTTGATTTGGCCCACCATCCCATCTGAGAAGAGAGGGAGGAGGATGGGGATGGTTTAGAGATTTTCACTTCAAATTTATTGTAAGCCTCTGTTTGTTTTATTGTTAAACGCTAACTGAAATGAAATGTCTCAATTAAATGGTGTAGAGCAGGGGTCACCAATCTCGGTCCTGGAGGGCCGGTGTCCCTGCAGGGTTTAGCTCCAACTTGCCTCAACACACCTGCCTGGATGTTTCAAGTATACCTAGTAAGACCTTGATTAGGTTGTTCAGGTGTGTTCGATTAGGGTTGAAGTTAAAATCTCCAGGACGCCAGCCCTCCAGGAATAAGTTTGAAGACCCCTGATGTAAATGAATTGTGTTTAAATGTGCATACGGTCACCTCAGTGCAGAGACTTTGATGAGCAAATGAAGGCAGGTTCTGCTTGACTGGTGCATTCAGCACTGAACTCCACTGTCTTATAAATGTGATTATTTGATTTTATTGCAATAAGTTATCATTTTGAAAGTTGTACTGCATTAGTTACGAAGTAACGTTTTCTTTTTTCTTTGAAATAATATTAAATAAACATACAAATAACCCATAGCAACTTTAATGTGTTATACAGTTGAAGTCAGAATTATTCACCCCCCTCTTTATTATTTCCCCCAATTTCTGTTTATCCGAGAGCAGATTTCTCCAGCACATTTCTAATCATAACAGTGTTAATAACTCATCTCTAATAACTGATTTATTTCCTCTTTGTCATGATGACAGTAAATAATATTAGACTAGATATTCTTCAAGACACTTCTATACAGCTTAAAGTGACATGTAAAGGCTTCACTAGGGTAATTAGGGGAACTAGGCAGGTTAGGGTAATTAGGCAAGTTATTGTATAATGATGGTTTGTTCTGTAGACTAGCGAAACAAATCAAGCTCAAAGGGGCTAATAATATTGAGTTAAAAAAATTAAAAACTGCTTTTATTCTAGCTGAAATAAAACAAATCAGACTTTCTCCATTAGAAAAAATATTATCAGACACACTGTGAACATTTCCTCAATCTGTTCAACATCATTTGGGAAATATTTAAAAAAGAAAACAAAAAGCAAAGGGGGAGAATAATTCTGTCTTCAACTGTAGTTTTTTATATTTAGCTTGGGTCCACGGCTCTCGATGATATTTGGTTTTTGGCTCTGAATATGTGAAACTTTGGGCACCGCTGATCCAAAGAGTAAAACACCAGATGAATTAAACGAAGGAGAATTATACAGTTATGCAGTTTTAGTTTTTATGGGCACATAATGAAAAATAGTTTGGTAAAATATGAAAATGTTTAATAATTTTAAATGTGTTGTTATTATTAATAATATGACAGTACCAGTAATTCCAACAAAACACTCTTGAGGAAAAGTGAGGAAATTTATCTCTGAAGTGAAAAAATGTAAATGATATTAAAGGAGATATACTCAAATAAACAAGAAATATATACAATACATGCTGTGAAAAAGCACTATACAAATACACTTAAATTATATATATATATATATATATATATATATATACAGTTGAAGTCAGAATTATTCGCCCCTGTTTATTTTTTCTCCAAATTTCTGTTTAACGGAGAGCAGATTTCTTCAGCACATTTCTAATCATAACAGTGTTAATAACTCATCTCTAATAACTGATTTATTTCCTCTCTGTCATGATGACAGTAAATAATATTAGACTAGATATTCTTCAAGACACTTCTATACAGCTTAAAGTGACATGTAAAGGCTTCACTAGGGTAATTAGGTTATTTTAGGGTAATTAGGCAAGTCATTGTATAACAGTGGTTTGTTCTGAAGATAATTGAAAAAAATTGCTCAAAGGGGTTAATAATATTGTTTAAAAAATTAAAAACTGCTTTTATTCTAGCCGAAATAAAACAAATAAGACTTTCTCCAGAAGAACAAATATTATCAGACAAACTGTGAACATTTCCTCAATCTGCTCAACATCATCTGGGAAATATTTAAAAAAGAAAAGAAATTTAAAGGGGGGTGAATAATTCTGACTTCAACTGTATATATTATTTTTTTTTTTAGTTTTTCCTTTTAGTTTTTTATTGAAGCTGATACTGACTTGAGATACCACAAATATTTTTGTGTCTTTGACAGTTCAAACATGAGCTGAAAACAGAGACAATCGGCTCCACAACACAGCAGATGAGAATGCGGGAAAACCAGCTCCCCTCCTTTCCTTAAGCTCCTGCAACCCCCTCTGTTCACTCACCCACACACACATATACATACATGCACACACAGAATGGCCATTTCAAAATCTGAATGTTCGAAATCAACTCAAGTGACTTTATCTATCATGTTTGATATCATTTGAAAGATCTCAGTGTGACTGGTCTCATTCCCTCAGAAACAGACATAATCAAATCAACAGATACAGAACTTCAGGTATCTGCTGAACCACTGTGAAGGGTGTGCCTTCCCTATAGGCAGAAACTCTTCCACTAAATGCAAATGCCTTCTGTTATTCACACGCCCCGTTCCTCGATGACTTTCTTGGTTTGATACTTAAGGTAAAGTTTCTAAATGTTTGGGGCGATTTTTGTAACCAGATCATCCCGTAGTGTGGAGCTTCATGCTCCATGTTATTATGTGTATTTTGAGGTCAGGTCTGCATCTTTTAATCTTGGATTTATCCTTGAGAATTTGATGTCTTGTATTGATCGTTTATGAATTGGCATAATACACATTTACCTGGCTAATAAATTGTTATTAGGGCTGCACGATATATAATTTCAGCATCGAAATCACGATGTGCGCATCCGCAATAGTCACATCGCAGGAGGTGCGATGCAAAGCAAAAAAAAAAAAAAAATATATATATATATATATATATATATATAACTGCCATATTATTTTGTTATTGTAAAGTTATTCATTCATTCATTCATTTTCTTGTCAGCTTAGTCCCTTTATTAATCTGGGGTCGCCACAGCGGAATGAACCGCCAACTTATCCAGCAAGTTTTTGCCCTTCCAGCCGCAACCCATCCCTGGAAAACATCCACACACACATTCACACACACACTCATACACTACGGACAATTTAGCCAACCCAATTCACCTGTACCGCATGTGTTTGGGGAAACCGGAGCACCCGGGGGAAACCTACACGAAGGCAGGGAGAACATGCAAACTCCACACACAAACACCAACTGAGCCGAGGCTCGAACCAGCGACCCAGCAACCTTCTAGCTGTGAGGCGACAGCACTACCAACTGCGCCACTGCCTTGCCCTTTTGTAAAGTTAATTGTTGGTAATTATTAGAACAAGTTTATCTTATCCACAATTTATTTGTTTTATAACATGCTTATTTTTTTTTAAACCATTCAGGGGGTTAGTGTTCAGCTGTTTTTATATTTTTACAATTTTGTAACAAGATATTTCCTTCTGTTTTGTCATTGTTGTAATAAAAAAAGTTTGTAATTGTTGAATAAAAAGTTAAATGACTTATTTTGTCACACATGTTAATTCCTAAATGTGATAATAAAGTGTCATCTTTGGAATAACCAAATGAGCTCACCTTTATCACAGTAAAAACAACATTTAGTATTAATTTCATAACATATTAGATGCTTGATTTATCTGAATTGACAGTTAAGTCATATTTTTTATAAACCCAAAAGAAACTATATAAAGTTTGTTCAGTGTTTTTACTTATTAATTTTTTAGATTCTATGAAAATGCTTTAAAAATTACCCAAATTATTATAGAACTATTGATTTTTTAATTTTTGAGCAGTTCAAAACTCCCGATTCTAAATTTCTAAATATCGCAGGGAAGACAATATCGCAATGTCAATTTTGTCCAATATCGTGCAGCCCTAATTGTTATGTCTTGAATCATTCAAACAGAGTTCATGTTATTATCTCTAGTAGATTACTTTAAGTCCACAAGCCCCTGTACAGGCTAGTAACGGAATAAACACGGAAGATGAAGCAGCGTGGCACGCTATACGATGATCTTAGAGCTCAGACTAACACATTGACATTAATTCATGTATACTTCCACTGTAAAAGGCCGATAATGGGTTTTCTGTTCAGAACAACAAAGTAATGTTGAGATCAATCTAAATGTGGGTGGGCCTTCATCTCTTAACTTATAATGCTATTTAAATCATATTCATTACTCAAAGTTACTAACAGTTTAAGTGAATCTGTCTGCTTGATTCTATAGTAATGATTATGGGTATGATTAAATAGTTTTGCTTTGATTTAGTAGACAGCAGATCTATGGGGACCACACAACACATACTCTAAACTGAGTAAGTAGGGTTCTG